TGCCCGCGAGGCTGCCAGAGATCGTCTCCGGCTGGCGGATGGTCACCGCTCCCCAGCGCCCAGGCGTTCTCGGGAGCCTTCCTGGGCAGGTGACTTACGGAATGAAAATCCACGAGGTGTTTCAGTGAGCTGAAGGAGCATCTTGGCTGCAGGCAGGTCCCGAGATCAACACGTTCCCAGCGAGCAGGAGCTGTCTCATTTACAGTGTCAGGCATGGCAGGCTGACAAGTTTGGGAGGTGCAGCTTTGCTGGGACTGCAGCTTTGCTGGGACACGGAATAGTTTGATCTCCTCCTGCCTCACTTTCCCTGGTGTGGGCAGGGATGGTGTTTTCCTACAGAAGCTGTGATGACCCATCAATTAATAAAATCACAGTGATTTGCAGCTGCAAGATGCCAGCTAAAATGACAGTGCAGTTTCGAAGCGTAACCTGTGCCAAACTCTGCATTTACATTGAATTTGTTACTCTGAAGTTACTGTAACCAGCTCACATCAGCGCATATTGTTTGCCCTCTCCTTGGATGAGTCCCTGGTGCTGGAAAACTCAGCTTTGCCAATCATTTTTGTAGCAACAGCATAAACGTTATGTGTTTGGCACAGAACCACAGTGAGTCAGGCTTGGCTCTGGGCAGCTGCCTGGAGAGAGGCAGGGAGAGACGATGGGTCTGAAGTCCAAGGGAGAGAGTATTGGCACCAGGAGGAGTCCCAGGCCTCGTGTGACGGTGCAGCCTGAGCTGCTGTAACAATACAGATGCAGCCTGAAAATAGGCAGTACTTACAAAGAGGCTGGTGATGGGCTGAGTGGAGCTGCCTGCACTGTGCCTGGTTTGGCTCTGTGGATGGTGGGAGGATGCTGTTACTCCACGGAGAGAGCTGCTTCTAGGAGTAGCTGTGTGTGCCTGCTCCTCTGGCTCCAAGGCACTTGATTCCTTCTGCACTAAGATAGAGGCAAATATGTTAGAGGAATAAATCGGGAAAAAATATTGGCAGCTAATTCTGGTCACTTTTCAATTCTTGCTCTTGAAGTTTTGGCACGTTTCAGATCTCTGTCTTTGACTCTTCCAAACACACACTCACCAGGCAGTTTTGTGCCCATCATTGGGGAACACTAGTCACTGGTGGCAGTCGCTAGGCAGCTTGATCCTGTGGAAAGCTGCCTGAGGATAACAACCAGACAAGTGTTAATGATTCATCAGCATCTCCAGTTCGTTTCTTTTTATGAACACACTGAGGTTATAACTAGAGACAATATTGATCAGGGCAGATATCGACACTCTTACTTCCCTCTCGCCCTGCCTGTCTTGAGTCTAACTGCAGAGGGAGAGGCCAGTTGTGTCCTGTCCTGTACTAAAGGTCACAGCAGCTGCTCAGATATCCATAATAAATCAGGAGGATGAAAGCTTTCCTTTGGTCTCATTTTACTGGGATGGTTTAACCACTTTGCTTTACATTAAACTCCAGCATGGAGTTGGTGGATCACGGGGAGCTCAGAAGGTAAAGGGCAGCTGATTTCTCCAGGGCTGGGATCAACCAGCTGCATTGTGCTGGTCTCAGCAGAGAGGGAACAGAGGCTCGTCAGAGCCACAGGAAGGCAGTCCTTGCCCTTTAGTGCTCTGAGAGGCTTGGACAAGTCCCAAGCACTGGCTGTTTCCAGCTGCACGTGACAATAGATTGTCAATGGGAATTTGTTTTCGAGTTCTCTGGCCATCAGTAGTAAACAGTGGAAGAACACTGGCTCCAGGGATCTCCTGGCTGATGGCACAGGGAGCTGGTAGGGACAGCAGAACATGCTTCCCAGCCAGTTCAGATCTTCCTGTTGATCTTGCCTTTCTGGAAAGACTCTCTCACACAAGCTTCAGGCAAAATCTACAAGAGGGACTTGTTCTGGAAGTGAGGCCAGTTCATCTCCAAAGCAGACACAGGACAGCTTCCTCCCACCTGCATTCCCTGAACCAGGACCTCCCAGCCAGCAAGACAATACTCTGCACTCAGGGGCCCATTTCAGCCTTGACTTCTCTCCTGACTCAAGCACAGAGGAGAGAGCTGTGGATTGTGGAGCTCCTTTTGTTTCAGACCCTTCATTTTCAGAGTTTGGACCACCTCAAAGATCTCTGAGCTATCATGGCACTATTGAGAAGTCACAGTTTTATGTTCTTGTGGCCCCAGCTCAGAACTCAGTGACCCAAAAGAACAGGTTACACCCTTAACACCCTGACTGGAGATAGTTTAAAGTAAAATTTTTGTGATTGTTGAAGTTCTGGGTTTGGTTTTTTCCCTCTACATCTGTTTTTACTTAGAGACCTTTTGCCTCTTGAGCCAAAACCAGCAGAGAACCTGAGATCCCCCCTGGAAAGGCTGTTGAATGTTGTAGGTCAGAACAGAGCAGGTCAGAAGGAGTTTGGGATTGGAATGTGATCCTGCCAGTTGCCTGTAGATATGGATGCCAAAGATGCTTATAGGAAGGAGAAACTATTTATCAGATTTAAGTAAAGCCAAAAGATCAATCAAGCTCAGCACCAGTGCCTGCTTCTGCCATAAGGGTTTGCCCCCCTACACTGGAACAAGATTTGGCCCAGGGAGACAAGGTCTGGAGTGGGAATACTGCCAGAGGGATCCAGCACAGCCCTTCCTGCACTGCTGTCAACCTTGGTACATGAATTTGAAAGGTTTCCTCACCCATAGCCATGACTGATCCTTTGTACAGGCATCATAATCCAGGTGGTGGCTGAAAGACCATCTGCAGTAGAAGGAGGGAAGGTGCCTGATCCACACCAATGCCTTTGGGGACAGTGATTAAGCTGAGGGAAGTGAGTTTAACTCTTCTGTCTTGTACTGATACTGCAGAATGAAGGAAAGAGAGAGCAGCAGAGGCTTTAGACAGGCAGAGAGCTGGAGACACAGAGTGGCCTGGTCTTCACAGCTGCAGGATAAAGATCAGAAACAGAGTAAGGTTAAGATCATTTTGCAACAACTTCCCCAGCAATGGCTCAGCTGTGGCACAGAGAGTTACAACTGCCCCCACAGCAGCAGTGTTCTCACTGCCAGCAGGGCTGTACTAACTGTTAGGACACAGGTTTTACATCAAAAGTAAACATTTCAACACTATTTTGGTGTGTCCGTGGGAATATATAGAAGAGTTCACATTAGGGTTAGGGTTGCTTCTAATGTGAAAGTGAAATGCTGATGTTGGTCCTCAGTCACTTCTGCTAAACACCTCCAGGGCCCCAGTGAGCGAGTCCTGATACTAGAGCTGTCAGATGGCTTCAAATAAGGACAGGCAGGGAGAGCTTCCCCCAGTAGTCTGCCTCACCCATCCTTCATCCTGTGCCAAAAATGAAGAAGGGCAGAAGCACCTTGGTCTTTTCCCAGGTTACTCACTCATACTTCTGTGTGACAGATTTGGGATGGTGAGGATGAGTATGTCCCAGCGAGCTGGATGTGTCCAGCATGTGCATAAACCTCACCTTACTCTGCACTCAAAGGGAACCCAAACTACTCCATGTGTTTTCCTCTGGCTTCTGGTCCACTTCATGGTCTAGTTTAAGGACTTGTATGAAGCTTCTGGCTTGGCACTACAGAGACACATTCAGCTTGAAAACAAAACTTGACTTGGAAAAGTGAATTACAGGCAGGAGATATGAAGTCACCAGATCCCACTGGGGCCATACAAGGGATTATCCTGTCAGTAAGTTTACTGCTGGTTTTTTCAACCCACTCAGAAGGAAACCAAGCAATGTGGCTTCTGCCACTTCCCTTTCTGAGGGCCTTTGTCAGCCAGATAACCCTGCAGTGAGGAAACATTTTCCTGTGTAGCTTCATTTCCAAACACATTTCTCATCCTTGCAGAATCTCCTGGGGGTGAGGATACCAAGGAATTAAGGGTATACTTCCAGAGAGGCCAAAATGCTGCAGGTCCTCTTGAAGTCAGCAAGTGATGGGCTGTAAATACAACCACCAACATCCTGCTGGTGCAACAGCTTTGTGGGACACTTCCATTTGTGTCTGTCTCAATGCGTCTTTTTTCCCCCCTCTGCATATAGCTGTCCTGATGTCCCTGTAAATTCATCCTGGAACTTCATTTGAGGAAAGGCTCTCCTGAAGCAAAAGGTTCCTTCTGCTCTTCCTCTTCTCATAACTTCCCTCAAGATGGCATCTGACAGCCCTGAGTCACTGATGACCTTGTGCACTGATTACTGCCTTCGGAACCTGGAGGGGACTCTGTGCTACCTGCTGGACAACGAGACGCTCCGGCTGCATCCTGACATCTTCCTGCCCAGCGAGATCTGTGACAAACTTGTCAACGAGTATGTGTCAGGCCTGGGAAGAAGCTGTTTGGGAAGGAGCTAGGAGCTCAGAGAAGGGGGAGTATAGTTCTCCAAAAAGAATGACAGGAAAAGGGGAAAAGTGGGGAAGAATTCATAGGGCTGTGATTTTCCAATCGATCCTATTGGCAATAAGAGTTTGCATTGACTTCAGCATGAAGTGTTCCCAGGGTTATTATACTGCTGTGTGTGGTTCTAGTTTCTGGGAAATCACCCTTTCCAAGTTAGTCAGAGCTCAACGAGATCCTGTAAAAAGGGAAATCAAAACCTAGAGTGAAACAGTCACTGCTTCTTCCAAGAATGTCAGTAAGCAGCAAAGGAGCTTTCCCATTTCCCACCACTGAAGCATGACAACTCTCCAACCAGAGAAATCAGAGTGCAAAGTGCTAACAGATGTTAAATTTTAAGGCTGTTACTCCCATAGCTTTACAAAGCAACCTGTTTCCAGGGATTTGTGTAATTTGGCTGTCACATTCTCTCTTGGCTGAACTTGTACCCACAAAGTCTGGCAGAGAACTTTGGCCAGATAATTTTCTGAAAAGTGAAAAAAAATCAAATTACTAAGTTGAGACAGATAGGGAAAAATCCTTGGAGCCTGTGCTTGCCAGAATCCAGTTTGTTCACATACACACGCACACAGAGCCTTGCACAAATCTTTGCCTGAGATTTTCCCAAGGATCATTAGTTCTGTGCCAGAAGAGGTCAGTTCCTTCACCCCAAAGGCTGTTCTGGGTGATCCAGAGGGAGTTGGTGTGTACTTACAGCTCAGTCACGTTTCCCTGTCACCAGGGCAGGTGCCAGAGCTGTAGCTGAGCTGCATTATGCTGTGCTAACACCATTGCTTCACACAGGTACGTGGAGCTGGTGAAGACAGACAGCATCTTTGAACCCCATGAAAGCTTCTTCACCCTCTTCTCCGACCCACGGAGCACCAGGCTCGCCCGGATCCACCTGCGGGAACAGATAGTGCAGGATCAGGACCTGGAAGCCATCAGGAAGCAGGTGGTGTTGCACTAACAGCTGCCACATTATATAGCAGCATTGCTGCACGGGCGTCAGCCAGAATCCCAGACACCCAGGGATTTGCAAGACTCCAGATTTTTCTTGGGATAACCTCAGCTTCTGCCTTCTAAGCCTCTGTAGGGAATGGGATGGGGACACTGTTCGGTGGTCTCAGGCTGTCCCAGTGGGAGGTGTGGAGCAAACAAGGTGGGCACCACCTGTGAAACATTTCTAACTTGGATTTCCCTTTTTCCAGGATCTTGTTGAGCTCTACCTGACTAACTGTGAGAAGCTGACGGCCAAGAGCCTGCAAACCTTGGTGAGCTTCAGCCACACACTGATCTCCCTGAGCCTCTTTGGCTGCTGCAATATCTTCTACGAGGAGGAGAACCCTGGGGGCTGTGAAGATGACTGTTTGGTGAACCCAACTCGCCAGGTCTTGGTCAAGGACTTCACTTTTGAAGGCTTCAGCCGCTTGCGCTTCCTCAACCTTGGCCGCTTGATTGAAGGGGTGAACGTGGAGACACTGCTTCGGCCTTTGGCCTCCCTTGCAGCTCTTGATCTCTCTGGGATCCAGCTGAACGATGTGGGATTCCTCACCCAGTGGAAGGACAGTCTGGTTTCCTTAGTGCTTTACAACATGGACCTTTCAGAGGAGCACATCCAAGTGATCGCACAGCTTCGCAAGCTCAGGTCAGCAGATCTGTTCTTCCTTGTTTATCTTTT